TTTATGTCTTATGAACATATGCATCAAACATGTTTGTTTATGACTTGGAATATAGATTTTATAATTCTGGTATATTTTTAAACATACAATTTACATGTACTAATAACAAATGTATATTGGCCATGTTTATGCTTAAACAATTCTATATAAAGTTAAGATAAGTTCATGATGTAATATTTTATGTAAATTGTACATTTTATATATTAACTATGTCTATTTAATTGATATTGTATGATTAAATCCATCTAGACTGATCTAGTACATTTGTAAACATTAAATTACATGCACTTGATAACACATATATTTTGGCAAGGTTTATGCTTAAACAATTATACATGAAGTTAAGATAAGATCATGCTGTAATATGTCAATTGTGCATATACATATATATAAAACATGACTGTTTAAAACTTGAAATGTTTATTGAAAACAGTATTCAGTATATGATCTTATCATGGAAGCTTCATAGAGAGCATTGCTATTAAACTGTTTTTGTTATTAATGTAGTACTTTAACAAAAACTATAACATGTTTGTTTGAATGGTTTTGATAGCATGAATGTGTGACTTTTCTTAATAAAAGATTGTACAAAATTGATTTGTGTATCATTTGTTTTTCCTCTCTAACAGAACAAGTTGGGGTATAAATCTTGTTAAAAATCATTTCCGACTATTTCCATATATAGCAATAACTAAGCTGCCAGTACATCAATAATGTTTGTAAAATATATGCATTGTTCTAGGAATGAGACTTTGACTGGTGAAATAACGTTTGTAAAATATATGAACTGTACTAGGAATGAGACTTTGACTGGTGATATAACGTTTGTAAAATGTATGCACTGTACTAGGAATGAGACATTGACTGGTGAAATTACGTTTGTAAAATATATGCACTGTACTAGGAATGAGACATTGACTGGTGATATAACGTTTGTAAAATATATGCACTGTACTAGGAATGAGACATTGACTGGTGAAATTACGTTTGTAAAATATATACACTGTACTAGGAATGAGACATTGACTGGTGATATAACGTTTGTAAAATATATGCACTGTACAAGGAATAAGACATTGACTGGTGAAATAACGTTTGTAAAATATATGCACTGTACTAGGAATGAGGCTTTGACTGGTGAAATTACGTATAAGATAAAACACAATCAACAAGTCTACAAAATGCATTAACACATGATATATACAAGGTGTTACAGTTATAAGATGTCACATATGACTTTATACAAATTATTTCAATTTTGTAAATACGTTGTTACTGCATGTGATATGGTCCGAGTTTTCTCCTTATAGTATATACAATAAAGCTGAATGTTATTCTATGACCCGTGTGCATTATAAGTAAGTCTGAGATATCTTGCATAAATAATAACAAAATTACATGAAAATTTACTCGGTTTGCTGGTATGACTCGATTGTGTCGGGGATTGCGTTCTGTGGATATCGCCTTGCCTTGATCTTTGTTCTCCTTTTCTTGTTATTGAGTGTGTACAAGAGGAATGATGATAAAGTACAACATCCCTCACGCCCCATAGCACCGGCTTGAGTCGTACTTAATTTTCAACACATAAAGGTGTTGGAATCAATAATCTCGAAGGACAAAAACAAAACAACATTGAAATAGTACGGGGCAACGTATTACATCTGCTACACAGAACTTGACACCTGCTGGTTTGAAGTATAAAAAATCAGCAAAAAGTGTGATCTTTTGGTAGGATTAAATCACAGCACATTTGAAATAGAAAAAAAAATACTTTTACGTCCCTCACGCCTCTTGGCACCGGCTGGAGTGGTACCAAATTGGCAACATTGTTTGAATCATTTGGAATCAAGCTATACCAAGTTGGTATTAAGTTGATATCATCATTACTATATAAGTGAAGATACATGTACATCTTTAGCCCACTCAAGGGATTGGGTTATGGCCATTCGAATTAAATTGAATATATAAATGTGTTTATTTTATGATACGACAGAAAAATACCTTGTCGCGTGTATAATTATAATATCATTAGGAGAAACACTAAAATAAATTACATTATAGATTGTGCATTTGAGTTTGTAAGGGCGATAAAAAATCCAAGGAGACTTATAAATACCGTTCGTCTATATATCAAAATACTTATCAAGAATGATTTCTCTTTAATTTGTACATTTGGTAATACAATTTAAGTCAGACTAATCATGCATTTATATTAATCTTTTTACAAGGATAAATTCCATTTGATCATAAATCAGATAGACATGCATATAAATCAGAATTTTGAAAATGCGCGGCTTTAAAACAAGTTTTATGTTTTCTTATAAATTGATCACATGAATGGGTGTAACATTTTACAAGGTTACGTTCATTACCATCCATGGATACATCTTTGCTCTAATTACTATACCTGTATTAAAGGATAAAGGGACACCTGAGGTCTTCCTCAATCAATAGAGCTGGAAAGTCGTCTTGTGATCTATTAAAAATGGCGTTATTTTTAAGGAAATGCCTACATCGACTTAACCTGTAATAAGAAATGCAGCTCCTGAAACACAATTTGAGAATTCTCTTGTTCAAAAATCCGGAAAGAAAGTGATCCCTCGGAAGCATTTATCACAATTAAATTACATAAGAATTGCAGACTCGGTTTAATTGAGTCTGTACATGAGGGACACTGAATAAGTGCAACATCCTTCAAGCCCCCTAGTCCCGGCTTTAGCGGTACTCAAGTCTCAACACTTAATAGTGCTGGTATCAATGATCCCGAAGGACCAGAAAAATATAACAACACTGAAGTGAAGTACGGGGCAACTTTTTACAGCTGCCACACAGTACTTGACACCTGCTGTTGTGAAGTATAAAAATCCGACATAAACCTTGGCTAGAATTAAAAGTATTTTGCCCAAAGATGAGTCTATTATATCTTTAAGTTTTCTGAAACCGACCTCGGATCATTTAACCCTGTATGGTATGGCAAATGATATTATATAATTGCAGATATAATTATTTTCCTATTCTATATTTTAAGATGTAAACTGTTCGTGTTCATTAAAACAAATGCTCCGCGGAATCAAAACGGGTATTAGCAGGTACTAATTTCTAAAGTTATAGTTTTGTAAAGGATCTGCTAATGATTTCAGAATAATAATGATAATTATGTATAATAATAATGATAATAAAGATATCAGTATAATAATGAACATACCAGAAATTGCAGCACTTCGAAATCAGTTGGCAATTTTGAGATGTCCATCGTTGCCATGGTAACAGGAAATTTAAGAGTTATAGCATGCCGTTACAAAGGCTATGGTCAAGTCAACATTTGTGCCAAGTTTGATCAGTAATGAGTATTGAAGCATTTTGTTTAGTTTCATAGCAATTTTAATTTGTAGCAGGAGGCTTTTTAATCAAAACAACAATGTTTAACAAAATGCCCATGAATGCGGTGTATAATGGGTTAAGTTGAAACACAGTTGTTTTCAAGACCGGTTCTGGCGCACCAGTTCCGAACAATCAAGCGAGCCATTCATGTAAACGACAATAAATAGTTTTGTTGTTTATTAACATTAACAAATAAATATTTGTGTCATTATTCTATTTCGGCTTCTAATATTTTTGTCAGATAATTGACTCTACATATGAGGCAAAAATGCTGAAATCAATATCGGCATTTTTTTATCGGTACATGCTATAATGTGGACACTTTTTATATATCGATGGAAAAGTTGTTATTTGCCATACAACATCATCCAAAAATATTTGCAAAAAAGTAAACATAAAGATATTCATACCTGTTTAAACCAAGAGACCTATTTTGACCAGTTCCGTACACGTACATGTATTTTTATGACGGGATTATTATCAGACTGTACCCAAATGAAAACGTTTCCGCGTTGTCTTATCAGAAATAAAATGTTCTTTAATGTTGAAATATATGAATGAGTATATGTAAGAAAGTGTGCCAATATTTTATTTGAGGTATAGGTATTAAATTAAAATCATGTATTTAAAATGCATGCAAGGAAAGTCGTTACTAAAAATATCCTACCATGTTATAATTTTATAACAAGTACTGGACGTGTAGTGTAATATTAATATACATTTATCTCTGAAAACTGAATAATGAAATAAAATGCAGAATATAGAGCAAAACAAAACATGGACATGGATATCTGTGTCAATGTTGACATATATTATTTATATTAAAGTTTACAATACCATATACATGTATACTCCGAATGAATATTAAAATAATAAATAAGACTGAAAGTTTGTAGTTTACAGATTTAGTTTTAGTATTAGCTCGCAAAAGTAGTCAAATTCTTCGTAGGTAATATTACAAATAGCATTTGTAACGTTATATAATTATATGTATGTGCACCGGAACTTGCTTCGGAAATGGTGAAACCAACCAGATTCAGTCAAGCAGTATTCTTACTAGAAAAAAGATAATATATTTCCTAATACTTGTTAGGCTTGAAGTCGAATCAAATATCAACTAGCTAGCAGGTACATTTTTTAAACCAACATTTTGTTAATTTACATATGCAGATACCAAAAGTTGAAAAAACTGCACTGGAACTGGTCAAACAAATGTATCACATTTTTATTAGATTTATTTTATAACAAAGTAACATATATATTGTAATTTTTTTAACCAAAACAAAATGCCGAGGCCATTATCATACTTAATTTTATTGCATTAAGAACACATTTACGGAAACGCTATATAATTTTATGTAAATCATTATATAATACATTTTACCATTGAGCTTTTTAGTTAATATTGAAAATAAATCAAAACAAAATCTATTATTTTTCTAAAAGTCCAAAGTTTTCATGCTATTTTTGTCTAATTATTTAGAAAATTAGAAATCTATATAGCCATAGAGGGAAAATAAATTTTACTGGTAAGTGAAGGACAATATTTAGTGTTGTGAGACCTTTTTACTGAGGACAATATTTAGTGTTGTGAGGCATTTAAAAATCGCGCATGCGCTGTAAATTTGAGGAAAATATCAATATGGCGGAGGTTAGTCCGGGATAAGATTTTCTTAAAATTTGAAGAAATTGGTGTAAGTACCTTTTAAATCTTGTAGCCGTTATGTTACATATTTTATACTGAAACGAAATGATTACTTCATGAAACAGATATAACTAATGTGCCAACACAAATTATAAAAATCTAACAATTAAAAACGAAAGTAGATTTATGAAAAACTGGGGGAATTTCAACATTAGGCTAATAATTATAGATGTTTTCAAATGGAAAGGTAACACCCATTTATTAAGCATTTGTAAATCATGTTTTTTATCTGAAATTATAATTTTGATGAATACTTTATTAAACTAATTTTATTAGGATTTGATAATTTACCAAAAGGTGTTTGGTGAAAACGAAAGTAGAAATTTTTAAAAACCAATTATTGACCTTTTCGAAAACATAGCTAAACACCGTTTTCCGGTATGTTACCGTTTTAGCTCTAAATAAAGTACTTAACACAGTTACGTGATATTTCTATTTTTCTATCATTATTTAACCGTTTAAGCTGAAGAAAATTGATGTTTTTGAAAATTATTAATATTCCTTTAATATCTTTTGCAAATTATTTAAAAAAATAAATTGTTTATAATGAAAATCAATAAAATTCAAACAGACGTGGTGGAATCTTCCATAATAAATAAGGTTATTTTCTGCGTAAACTTGTGTATTTACTTTTTTTTGTATGGTATTATTAAACAATGATATTTAATTATTTTTATATAAAGAAATAACTGTTTTATTTCAATTTAATTTTAAAAAGGCCGAAAACATCGAGTTCGCTATAACACGCTATTAGGCGAATTCCCCAGAGCTATGTACAGAAAGTACCGGAAAACGGCGTTTAGCTAGGTTTTAGAATTCGTGAATTCCGTTCCTTAATTATTTCAGACCTTAATCTAACCAGTTTCTGGCCTCAATTTAACCAATAATTAACATTAATGTAACTAAAATTTGTCCATAATCTGACAAAATTCAGACATTCTGAAAAGTGCCACATACGTGCATAGGTATATCTGTCCTTATTTTATTAAATCTATATACATGTTTATAATATAAACAAGGCATACAAGTTGTGGCCTCCCATTACCAGCACGGGTTCGTAAAAAGCATTTACATGTAACGGAGTGGTGAAACAGGAAGTCATTTGAGTGTCGGACTTCTTTGGTAGGGAATACAAATGTGTAAACATCAAAGATTGGCAGATTCTTTTGAAGAGCAGACTAGTCAATTGTCAGAGGTCATCATGTGTGTAAATTTTGAGTATGTTATTTAAGTTGGAAACATTATATCTCATTTATTTATTGATGGCATCATGCTACTTTGTTGGCGAGTGTTTTCTTGTATTTTCGCACAATTGAATATTGACAGTCTGCAATGAATTTCTTTAAAGTTTAAAATTTTAAAACAGGTGGCAATTATCTGCCCTTCAGAAATTTAGGGAGACAAATGCTCGGTGTGTTATTTGTTTTCAGACGTACATTATGTATTTTAGTAAATTACCGCGGGTAATAAATTGATCATTGGTCACCCAAGAGAGCAGAATGAACCTGCAATATTTCACAGTGATCAACAGTGACGATATTCCGCAGAACAAATTGCACCCGATGATCGGGTGATAATGGAAAGTCAAAACTGTAGCGGGGACGTTGCCGTGACAATCCAACTGTAAAATAATCGCAGGGATTGACAGACTTTAGTTAATTGTTTAAGCTGTACTGTGCATTTATGGAAAGTAGATTTATAATTGATATTGAGATATGTTTCTTATTCCTTATTGGTTTATAAAGTTTCCTTGCTTATAATTCCAAAGAAAAAAAGACACAAAAAATGTCTCGAGATCAGACATCTAACATGTCTTCCAAGTTCTACTTTAGACGTAGAAATGGTTGAATTGATTTTGGCCGCTCAATGAGGAACAATTAATATCTACTTCTGTATTATGGGATGACTGTTTCTATAGATGAGCAAACTGGGGCCAATATGGCCCTCTAGTGATAGAAGCAATGCCTTCATTGTATGTCAAAGTTCATGGTCCCTTAACTGGGGCCAGCTTTCAGGGCATGCATGTACAAGTGTTTGTGATCAGTCATCATGGTCATAGACAAATTAATAATGGTTTTCCTTGGATTCTTACAAATTGTAGCTAAAAATATTTCTTTTTTTCTAGAAATCAAGATGGCACATGAGATACATTTAAAGAACAACAAATACCGGCAGTGGGTTAAGGCTGGCCTAGGCTTGGGTTATCTTAAAGAGGGTCTTGCACCATTTTGTGATGACATAGGAAAACAGCAGCACCACGATATTATTAACCAAATACAACAAACAAAGACTCCTCAACCAAATGTACCATGTGGCACCTGTCAGATAACAACTCTCCAGCCAGATCATATCCGAGTCTCCAAAGGGATATGTCCCCTCAAACAAGATAAATGTAACTGTTGTTTTCCTAATAATAAGAGACCCTGTCCAAACAATGTATGTGGTGCCATCTATGACAGCATTATACAGTATCATGCATCAATACCACCGGCACCTTTTTGGAAAAACAGTGATGTCCAACAGTGGTCAACAAAACCGTGGGAGGTTTGCAAATGTTTTATAAATGCTCCTGGGTACAAGGACAAGACATCAGCAGTCGACACTGATTGCACTGGGTTGCTTCATGTTATCATAAATAACAAGTACTTTCATAGTCACATTGGATGCAATGTTACAGGACCAAACAATCTTTTTTCAAAGGTAACTAGATTTGTATACTATAATTATTAATGTTTATTTTAAATTTTGTAGAATATTAAGCTTTACTGTAATATTAAGTCTGTTAATTAAGTATAAAAGCAAAGGAGATTATTTTTACCTTGGTGCAGTTATTGGTTAACTCTTTATTATACCCCCAAAAATGAAGTTTGGGGGGTATATAGGAGTCACCCGGTGGTCGGTTGGTTGGTAGGTCCAGCGGTCTGTTGCATTTTCCTTGTCCGGAGCATAACTTGAAAACTAATAGTTGGAAGTCAATATAACTTCATACAATGGCTAAACTCATTGAGAGGAAGTGCAGTGCACAAGAACCATAATTCCATCTTGACTAATTACAGAGTTATTGCCCTTTGTTACTTTTCCTTGTCTGGAGCATAACTTGAAAACTAATGGTTGGAATTCAAAACAACTCCATACAATTGTCAGGCACAAAAAGGGGAAGTGCAGTGCACAAGAACCATAACTGTATCTAAAGTAATTACAGAGTTGTTTGCCCTTTGTTACTTTTCCATTGCTTTTTTTGTCCGGGCCATAACTGAAGACTAATGGTTGGAATTCAATATAATTTCATACAATGGTCAAGCACATTGAGAGGAAGTGCAGTGCACAAGAACCATAATTCTATCTTGACTGATTACAGAGTTACTGCCCTTTGTTACTTTTCCATGTCCAGAGCATGCCAAGTCTTATACATCGCAGATTAAGAGGGGACATGATTCAGACTTTCAAAATAGTAAAAGGCTTAGATGACTGTGTTTTTGAAAAAAAAATTCAGTTATTCGGCATCAACAATGCAGAAGGGGACATAATTTAAAACTAGAAATGCCTCGTAATAGAACAACTCATTGCCTACATCAGTTTTCAAGATGTGTAATTAAAACATGGAATAATTTGCCAAAAAATGTAGTAGACTCAAAAAGTGTTCATGAATTTAAAATAAAACTAGGCCAACACTGGACCGGAGACACTCCATATAAAGTTTAAAATGTTTATTGAAAAATTATGCTGTTAAAATTATACAGCAAAATACATTCAAACAACATCTCCTCTGAAACCATAAGGCAGAACACAATGAAATAATACAGGGATGTTCCTTGTATGAAGCCTGAACAAAGTTGTTCAAAGAATTCCATTCCATGCACAACTCTGTTTGCCATGGCAACCAAAACAAAAAAAACTTTAAACATCTTCTTCTTTAAAACCCAAAGAGCTAGAGTTTAGATATTTGGCATGAAACATTTTAGTGAGTGTCTATAAAGATTGTTCAAATAAAATCCCCGGGGTCAAAATTGGCCCCGCCCCAGGGGGTCATTGATTTTCCCTATATGCATATAGTAAAAACTTAAAAAAAATCTTCTTTTAAAGAACCCAAAGAGCTAGAGGTAAGATATTAAGCATGAAACATCTTCTAATGGGTGTCTACCAAGTTTGTTCAAATAAAAGCCCTGGGGTCAAAATTGGCCCTGCCCCAGGGGGTCATTGATTTTCCCTATATGCATATTATTAAGTAAAAACTTAAAAAAATCTTCTTTTAAAGAACCCAAAAAGCTAGAGCTAAGATATTAAGCATGAAACATTTTCTAATGAGTGTCTACCAAGTTTGTTCAATTAAAGCCCTGGGGTCAAAATTGATCCCGCCCCAGGGGGTCATTGAGTTTCCCTATATGCATATAGTAAAAACTTGAAAATCTTCTTCTAAAAAAACCCAAAGAGCTAGAGCTTAGATATTTGGCATGAAACATGTTATAATTGATGTCTACCAAGTTTTTTCAAAGAAAAGCCCTGGGGGGGAAATTTACTCCGCCCCAGTGGGTCATATATTTTCCCTATATGCATATAGTAAAAACTTAAAAAAAAATCTTTTAAAGAACCCAAAGAGCTAGAGCTAAGATATTTAGCATGAAACATCTTCTCATGGGTGTCTACCAAGTGTGTTCAAATAAAAGCCCGGGGGTCAAAATTGGCCCTGCCCCAGGGGGTCATTGATTTTCCCAACATGCATATAGTAAAAACTTAAAAAAATCTTCTTTTAAAGAACCCAAAGAGCTAGAGGTAAGATATTAAGCATGAAACATCTTCTAATGAGTGTCTACCAAGATTGTTCTAATAAAAGCCCTGGGGTCAAAACTGGCCCCGCCCCAGGGGGTCATTGATTTACCCTATATGTGTATAGTAAAAACTTCTTCTTGTAAAAAACCTAAAGAGCTAGAGCTTAGATATTTGGCAGGAAACGTGTTATAATTGATGTATACCAAGTTTGTTCAAATAAAAGCCCTGGGGTCAAAATTGGCCCCGCCCCAGGGGGTCATTGATTTTCCCTATATGCATATAGTAAAAACTTTTAACATGTAAAAAATCTTCTTTTAAAGAACCCAAAGAGCTAAAGCTAAGATATTTAGCATAAAACATGTTCTAATAGATGTCTATATGCATAGATAGTAAAAACTTGAAAATCTTTTTCTAAAAAAACCCAAAAAGCTAGAGCTTAGATATTTAACATGAAACATGTTATAAATGATGTCTACCAAGTTTGTTCAAATAAAAGCCCTGGGGGAAATTAGCCCCGCCCCAGGGGGTCATTGATTTTCCCTATATGCATATAGTAAAAACTTTAAAAAAAATCTTTAAAAGAACCCAAAGAGCTAGAGCTAAGATATTTAGCATGAAACATCTTCTAATGGTTGTCTACCAATTTTGTTAAAAAAAAAAGCTCTGGGGTCAAAATTGGCCCTGCCCCAGGGGGTCATTGATTTTCCCTATATGCATATAGTAAAAACTTATAACATGTAAAAAATCTTCTTTTAAAGAACCCAAAGAGCTAAAGCTAAGATATTGAGCATAAAACATGTTCTAATAAATGTCTACCAAGTTTGTTCAAATAAGAGCCCTGGGGTCAAAATTGGCTCGCCCGGGCTGACATTGATTTTCCTTATATATGTGTATAGCAAAATTTTAAAAGTCTTCTTTGAAAAAAACCCGTATAGCTAGAGTTTAGATATTAAGCATGAAACATTTTCTAGTAAGTATCTACAAAGATTGTTCAAATAAAAGCCCTTGGGTCAAAACTGGCCCTGCCCCAGGTGTGTCATTGTTTTTAACTATATGTGTAAAGAAAAAAACTGGACCAGCTAGACCTTAGATGTTAAGCATGAAATATCTTCTAATGGGTGTCTACCAAGTTTGTTCAAATAAAAGCCCTTGGGTTTAAACTGGCCCCGTTCCGGGGGCTATATACAGGTGAGCGACTTCAGGGCCATCATGGCCCTCTTGTTTCTTGTCCAGAGCATAACTTGAAATTTACTAGTTGGAATTCAATACTATTTCATACAATGGTCAAGTATATTGAGAGGAAGCACAGTGTACAGAAATCATAACTCTTTATGTCTTTCTAGACTTATTTAAAGTTTTTGCCTTTTGTTACTTTTTATTGTCCTGTGCATAACTTGAAGATTAATGGTTGGAAATCAATGAAACTTCATACAATGGTCAAGGCAGTGAGATGAAGTGCAGTACACAAGAACCATAACTCTATTTGGAATAATTACAGTTATTGCCCTTTGTTACTTTTTTGTCCTGTGCATAACTTGAAAACTTGTTGTTGGAATTCAATACAACTTCATACAATGGTCAAGTGCAATGAGAGGAAGTGAAGTGTTCAATAACCATAACTCCAGGAGTTATTGCCCTTTGTTCCTTTTCCTTATCTTTCTGGACTTATTGCAGAGTAATTCAATAAAACTTTATCAATAGCCAACCACATTGAAAGGAAATGCAATATACAAGAACCACAACTATCTTTAATTGCCCACAACCATAAATGTATTTCAATTGTTTTACAAGGTATTCTTTTACTAGTAACATCCTCATTTCCGAAGCAGTCTTGCAGGGGTATTAATCACATTTAGTGATAGTTCTCGTTGAATTTTTATAAGAGTTTACCCATTACCGCACTAAGATGAAATTATATCCATATAACTATGAGGTTAATGCAGTTTAATTTTGCAAGAGAAATGATTTGCAACAAGTGAATAATGATTCAAAATTGTTACGCATAAAGTTGTATTCTTAAATATATTTCAGCAATACAATCTTTTCGCTAGCTCTAATTTTTGTGGGAAGGAAACAAAAACAATTTCTTTTTTAAGCATCACTGTAAATTGTACAGAAGTAGGTTATTTGTGCTATATAAGTACATTATGTAAATGCAACACGTTAATTATACCATAACTTCAGTAAAATAATTATAAAATTTATCAAAAAAAACATTTCTATTCCATTTGCTTTTATATAATCTTCAGTTTAAACACAATAATAATAATGATTATTATGGTAAGTATTTTAAAGTAACTATTTTATTAAAGTTTTAATTCTCAACTTAGGAATTGTGTTTAGTCTCATTGCTGAACACTGTATTTATGTGAATGTTGTATTATTTGTTTTCTGTATATTAGGTACGGCAGTATCGAAACGAAATTTTTCACTCTAGCTCTATGGAGTTAGAGGAGAGCAAGGCTAATTGTTATATCGATGACATGATAGCTGTTCTACAAGATGCTAAAGAACTTGTACATCGACAAGATGCACAACAAGCTGTCGGAAAACTTCAAGATGTAAGTGTACATAAAGAATTATATTTGAAATCTTTAAGTTGTAATAATTTAAAATAAGCTCAGCTCTAAATTCAGGTAAATTTATGATAATAGAATAAAATGCTTTAATTTGTTTCATTATAATCAAATTTAAATAACAACTGCCTTAAATTAACTTTTATCAATGAAATCAAGTAAAAATACCTACAAAATGTAAATATATAAATGCATATCTTAGTTTTTAAGTTTTAGGTTAAAGAAGGAAAAAATAAAAATAGAAAAATAGTCCGTAAATCCTGCCTTGATTTGAGAAGTCATAACATAAAGTAAGAGAGTAAAGATTAAAGAAAAATTGAGATGATTTTGAAAAATAGAGTTTGACCTTATATATGATATGTTATAAATATAATAAATCACATAGCAGCTACATTTGAAAATTGTTTCTTGTTATAAGCTGAAGAGGAAGGAATTTATTATTACCACTGAAAACTTTAAAGAAATTCTGACTCAAATCAAAGAAAATGCTGCAACAAAAGAGGAATATGAGGAGCTCAAACATAAATTTTCTGAACTAAAAGCACAGATGTCGGAAGCTGAGAAAGAACGTACAGAGTTGAAAAGAAAATTTACTGTTCTTGAGACAAAGCAGAAAGAGGTAGAATGTGTTCAATTGTTTGTTTCCATTTGATATACCAGAACAATGTATTACTGTTTGTTTCCAGTTGATATGCCGGCAGTGCATTGTATTACTGTTTGTTTCCAGTTGATATACCAGTGCATTGTATTACTGTTTGTTTCCAGTTGATATATACCAGTGCATTGTATTACTGTTTGTTTCTGGTTGATATACCAGTGCATTGTATTACTGTTTGTTTCTGGTTGATATACCAGTGCATTGTATTACTGTTTGTTTCTGGTTGATATACCAGTACATGTATTACTGTTTGTTTCTGGTTGATATACCAGTGCATTGAATTACTGTTTGTTTCTGGTTGATATACCAGTGCATTGTATTACTGTTTGTTTCTGGTTGATATACCAGTGCATTGTATTACTGTTTGTTTCTGGTTGATATACCAGTGCATTGTATTACTGTTTGTTTCTGGTTGATATACCAGAACAATGTTTTACTGTTTGTTTTCGGTTGATATACCAGTGCATTGTATTAGTGTCTGTTATCCCCCGCCGATGGAATCGGGAGGGGGATATAGTTTTGGCGTTGTCGGTCCGTTCTTCTGTCCGTTCTTCTGTCCGTCCGCACTCGCAGGAGAGTAATTATGTGGCTATAGGGACAATAGGTAACTGTTCTTTCTCTTTGATGTCATTCATTCCGTAATGCTTTTATGTGGCTATTTTCTTTTGTGTGGCTAAAAAGAACAATAGAGAGAACAATAGAGTAGCCACATAATTACTGTCCTGTGAGAACGTCCGTCCTTCCGTCCATCCGTCCATCCAAATTTCGTTTCCGGAGTAGTTCTCTGCAACTACTGACTGGAATTCAATGAGACTTTATGGGAATCATCAATATCATTAGGAGATGAGCATATCTTCGGCTTGTTCCGGTCCGACACTTTAACTCAGAGTTATGGCCCTTGATTATTTATGCATTATGCATATAGAGTAAAAATCGTTTCCGCGCTATTTCTCTGCTACTACTGGCTGGAATTCAACAAAACTTTATGGGAACCTTCAATATCAAGAGGGGATAAGCATATCTTCGTCTTGTTCCGATCCGACACTTTAACTCAGAGTTATGGCCCTTGAATAGTTATGCAGTATGCATATAGAGCAAAAATTATTTCCGCGCTACTTCTCTGCAACTACTGGTTGGAATTCAACAAAACTTTATGATAGCCTATAATACCAAAAGGATAGGCGCATATCGTCACCTTGTTTGGGTCAGGCACTTTAACTCAGAGTTATGGCTCTTGATTAGTTATGCAGTATGCATATAGAGCAAAAATCGTTTCCGCGCTACTTCTCTGCAACTACTTGTTGGAATTCAAAAAAACTTTTTGGGAACCTTCAATACCAAGAGAAGATGCGCATATCATTGCCTTGTTGGGGTCAGACATTTTAACTCAGAGCTATGGCCTTTGATTAGTTATGCAGTATGCATATAGAAAAATATTTGTTTCTGCACTACTTTTCTGCAACTTCTGGCTGGAATTCAATGAAACTTTATTTGAACCTTCAAAACCAAGAGAAGATGCGCATATCGTCGCCTTGTTCGGATCAGACATTTTTACTTTGAGTTATGGCCCTTGATAACGTATGCAGTATACAACCAGAGCAATAATCCTTTCCGTGCTACTTCTTTGTAACTACTGGCTGGAATTCAATGAAACTTTATGGGATACGAAGAGGAGATGTGCATATAGTAGCCTTGTTTCGGTCAGACACTTATAACTCAGATTTATGGCCCTTGATTAGTTATGCAGTATGTAAACATCTCATTGGCATTTCCAGATATTACTATTTAACACAGAATTATGGCCCTGTTATTGCCCTGAATATTTATCAAGTTCAAAGAATATTACTGTTTATGCCATGATAAATATATAAATAAAGCCTTATGTCTTCAGTTGTTGTGTTAGTAATAACCAGTACTCGGCGGGGGATATAAATTCAACGACTTTGCTTGTTTCCGATTGATATGCCAACAGCGCATTGTATTACTGTTTGTTTCAGGTTGATATGCCGGCAGTGCATTGTATTACTGTTTGTTTCTGGTTGATATACCAGTGCATTGTATTCCTGTTTGGTTTCAGGTTGATATACAAGTGCATTGTATTACTGTTTGTTTCCGGTTGATATACCAGTGCATTGTATTCCTGTTTGTTTCTGGTTGAAATACCAGTGCATTGTATTACTGTTTGTTTCCAGTTGATATATACCAGTGCATTGTATTACTGTTTGTTTTCATTTGATATATACCAGAACAATGTATTACTGTTTGTTTCCGGTTGATAAACCAGTGCATTGTATTACCGTTTGTTTCCGGTTGATATACCAGTGCATTGTATTACTGTTTGTTTCTGGTTAATATACTGGTACATGTATTACTGTTTGTTTCTGGTTTATATACCGGTGCATGTATTACTGTTTGTTTCCGGTTGATATACTGTTACATGTATTATTGTGTGTTTCTGGTTGATATACCGGTGCATGTATAATACTGTTTGTTTCTGGTTGATATACCGCAAATGTATTACTGTTTGTTTCCGATTGATATACCGGTGCATGTTTTACTGTTTGTTTCCGGTTAATATACTGGTGCATGTACAAGTATAACTGTTTGTTTCCGGTTGATATACCGGTACATGTATTACTGTTTGTTTCCGGTTGATATACCGGTACATGTGTTACTGTTTGTTTCTGTTTGATATACTGGTACATGTATTACTGTTTGTTTCTGGTTGATATACTTGTACATGTATTACTGTTTGTTTCTGGTTGATATACCGGTACATGTATTACTGTTTTTTTCTGGTTGATATATCGGTACATGTATTACTGTTTTTTTCTGGTTGATATACCAGTGCATTGTATTACTGTTTGTTTCTGGTTGATATACCAGTGCATGTGTTACTGTTTGTTTCTGGTTGAAATACTGGTACATGTATTACTGTTTGTTTCTGGTTGATAAACCAGTACATGTGTTACTGTTTGTTTCTGGTTGATATACCGGTACATGAATTACTGTTTGTTTCTGGTTGATATACCGGTACATGTGTTACTGTTTGTTTCTGTTTGATATACTGGTACATGTATTACTGTTTGTTTCTGTTTGATATACTTGTACATGTATTACTGTTTGTTTCTGGTTGATATACCAGTGCATTGTATTACTGTTTTTTTCTGGTTGATATACCGGTACATGTATTACTGTTTGTTTCTGGTTGATATACCAGTGCATGTTTTACTGTTTGTTTCTGGTTGAAATACTGGTACATGTATTACTGTTTGTTTCTGGTTGATATACCGGTACATGAATAACTGTTTGTTTCTGGTTGATATACAGGTACATGTTTTATGTTTGTTTCCGGTTGATATACCGGTACATGTATTACTGTTTGTTTTCGGTTGATAAACCAGTACATGTGTTACTGTTTGTTTCTGGTTGATATACCGGTACATGAATTACTGTTTGTTTCTGGTTGATATACCGGTACATGTGTTACTGTTTGTTTCTGTTTGATATACTGGTACATGTATAACTGTTTGTTTCTGGTTGATATACGGGTACATGAATAACTGTTTGTTTCTGGTTGATATACAGGTACATGTTTTATGTTTGTTTCCGGTTGATATACCGGTACATGTATTACTGTTTGTTTTCGGTTGATAAACCAGTACATGTGTTACTGTTTGTTTCTGGTTGATATACCGGTACATGAATTACTGTTTGTTTCTGGTTGATATACCGGTACATGTGTTACTGTTTGTTTCTGTTTGATATACTGGTACATGTATTGCTGTTTGTTTCTGTTTGATATACTTGTACATGTATTACTGTTTGTTTCTGGTTGATATACCGGTACATGAATAACTGTTTGTTTCTGGTTGATATACAGGTACATGTTTTATGTTTGTTTCTGGTTGATATACCAGTACATGTATTACTGTTTGTTTCTGGTTGATATACCGGTTCATGTATTACTGTTTGTTTCTGCTTGATATACTGGTACATGTATTACTGTTTATTTTCGGTTGATATACTGGTACATGTTTTACTGCTTGTTTCTGGTTGATATACAGATACATGTATTACTGTTTGTTTCTGCTTGATATACTGTACATGTATTACTGTTTTGTTTCTGGTTGATATACTGGTACATGTATTACTGTTTATTTTCGGTTGATATACTGGTACATGTTTTTACTGCTTGTTTCTGGTTGATATACCAGTGCATTGTATTACTGTTTGTTTCTGCTTGATATACTGGTACATGTATTACTGTTTATTTTCGGTTGATATACTGGTACATGTTTTACTGCTTGTTTCTGGTTGATATACAGATACATGTATTACTGTTTGTTTCTGCTTGATATACTGGTACATGTATTACTGTTTGTTTCTGGTTGATATACTGGTACATGTATTACTGTTTATTTTCGGTTGATATACTGGTACATGTTTTACTGCTTGTTTCTGGTTGATATACCAGTGCATTGTATTACTGTTTGTTTCTGGTTGATATACTGGTACATGTATTACTGTTTGTTTCTGGTTGATATACTGGTACATGTATTACTGTTTATTTTCGGTTGATATACTGGTACATGTTTTACTGCTTGTTTCTGGTTGATATACCAGTGCATTGTATTACTGTTTGTTTCTGCTTGATATACTGGTACATGTATTACTGTTTATTTTCGGTTGATATACTGGTACATGTTTTACTGCTTGTTTCTGGTTGATATACCCGTGCATTGTATAACTGTTTGTTTCTGGTTGATATACCGGTACATGTATTACTGTTTGTTTCTGCTTGATATACTGGTACATGTATTACTGTTTATTTTCGGTTGATATACTGGTACATGTTTTACTGCTTGTTTCTGGTTGATATACCAGTGCATTGTATTACTGTTTGTTTCTGGTTGATATACCGGTACATGTATTACTGTTTGTTTCTGCTTGATATACTGGTACATGTATTACTGTTTATTTTCGGTTGATATACTGGTACATGTTTTACTGCTTGTTTCTGGTTATTATATACAGATGAATGTATTACTGTTGGCTGGTCTGTGTCCATGCTGGTCGCAAACCCATTATATTGGTTTTGTCGTTATGCGGCTCAAATTAAATTGAAACGATGCAAGCTTAAATTGACGGCATATGTATAATTAGAAGCAAAATTAAGCTGACAACCCCTTGAATATCGTTTTCGGAAATTTTCATTTTGTGTTTAATTGTGTTTAATTCATTTTCAACGGCATTTTAAAAAGAAACATGAAAATAGAATGTTGAATAGTTTGAAAAAAAAGTTGCATTTACATGTGTATGCATTCGACATCTTTCATATAATAATATATATCCTTTGAATAAAAGATATGTTATGCTCAACTTTCATTGAAATCTGAATATGTCAAATTATAATCAATGAACGAATAATAAGTTTCGTATAGGAAGCTGTGTTCCATATTACAAGTCAAGTTGGTCGTTTCTTTGGAGAAACTGATAATGACAGGTACTTAACTTCCTGTCCTTGAATTTTCCTATAGTTAGAGACATTTTTACAGACATTTGTTATTCATATGCAGCGATTATATTACATAAGATCTGAAATCTAAGTTACCGAGGAAATACAATATCGATCATTACCAAAATAAATGCCATCATGTTATATAATAGTTTCTCGTTGAAAAATTTTATGGCAAACCTTCAAAATATCCTAAACTGTTAAACCTAATGGCATCAGATTAATGATCATGATTAATGCTTCATGGACGTAGTTCGAAATATTTGTTAAGCTTAATTTGCCAATGATATATGATCACAATATCAATTTTAAGAAATACATAAAACAATACATTAAATAATGTTCTCTTTAGCTTACCTTTTCGCCAGTGTCAAAAAAACCTGCTGTTCTCACTTGCAATTTCTTGTCACAATCATACCTTACTAGATAGTGAGAGTGTCTCTTTGTCACCTGGCGCACAGCCATACTTATCGGCACAAAGCACTTATTATTAAAACACTTTTAAATCCAAGTTTATCGATTTGAAACAAAATGACAAACACTTTTTCAACACTAGTATGTCCAAGTCCTTTGGAACAAATAATAACAAACACGAATATTTACTTTAGAAATGCACAATTATAAAAATACACTGTCAGAGTTTAAAGCAGAATAAAGGAAGATATGAATGTTGTCGTATATAAGTGATCTGCCTGTGACACGCAGTTCTCAAATTACTCTTACTCAAAGCTTTCTTGGTTCTAACTATGAAATCTTACCTTTGAAATTTTAACACCTTGCTTTAATTAACATATCTGTGGACGTAAAATCGGCGAGAAAAAAGGCAACGATGACAACCAGTTCTCAAATTACATGTAATTAACACCTTTCTTTGTTTTTAAATATTCTTTGAAAATGTAGCACCTCGCTTGATAATTGTATTGAATACGAATTAAGTACAGATTTTTATTGCATTTGAACTAGACAAAAAGAGAAATATATTTATCACAAATATGTAAAGTATAGTATGGTTTATGTTAAATAGAACACAAAATCGCTATCCTTTTCACCTATCCTTTGCATACACACCTGAAAATAGAAATAATAATATAATACAATGTAATGGGACATCTTAAAATACTTGATAACATGTTTTGGATAATAACTTGTTAAGATAAAGTACAAGTGCCATGATATCGATTATGTATTTACGACAATTTTTTGACGAACTAAATATGAAAAATAACAAAAATGTAACAAATAACGTACGACATAAATTTAGTAAAAAAGGAAAAACAGTAAAAAATAAATATGTAAGTACATTACTTATTGACCGATTAAATTATGGATTTTCTCGGAGAACCTCCGAGTTAGCGCTTTTACACTCTCTAAAACTCCGCGATACCCGTTGCAGTTGTATCTCCGCGATTTAGGGAGTTGATTCGCGGAGAAGCAGAGATTTTTCTTATACGTCGATCGCGGAGGAAGCACAAAAAATGTACATTCCGCGCGAGCTGTACTGTACCTGTACATGTATTACTGTTTGTTTCTGTTTGATATACTGGTACATGTACTACTGTTTGTTTCTGTTTGATATACTTGTACATGTATTACTGTTTGTTTCTGGTTGATATACCGGTACATGAATGACTGTTTGTTTCTGACTGATATACCAGCACATGAATTACTGTTTGTTTCTGGTTGATAAACCGGGACATATGTTAATGTTTGTTTCTGGTTGATATACCGGTACATGTATTACTGTTTGTTTCTAGTTGATATACTGGTTCATGTATTACTGTTTGTTTTAAGTTGATATACCGGCACATGTTTTACTGTTTGTTTCTGGTTGATATACATGTACATGTGTAACTGTTTTGTTTCTGGTTGATATACCGGTTCATGTATTACTGTTTGTTTTTGGTTGATATACTGGTACATGTATAACTGTTTGTTTCTGGTTGATATACTGGTACATGTGTAACTGTTTTGTTTCTGGTTGATATACCGGTACATATGTTAATGTTTGTTTCTGGTTGATATACCGGTACATGTGTGACTGTTTAAACCTGTACATGTATTTTTGTATTACTGTAATCAACTTATCGAAGTTTGTCTCGTAGAAATTATACTGTATATTTGGAAGCTGTATGTTATACAAACGGACTGAATATACAAGTACATGTATTACTTTATACAATAAACATGTTTGAAAATTTAATAAACAAAACACAATTATTTGTATTATATTTTATGTTGTAGGAGATAAAAAAACTCAAGGTAGAAGATTCTCCTCAACTAAAACAATTACAATATGAAAAGGCTAAATCAGGTATGTTATATAGAATATGAAAAGGCACAATTGAATATGAAAAGGTTAAATTAGGTATGTTATATAGAATATGAAAAGGCACAATTGAATATGAAAAGGTTAAATTAGGTACATGTATGTTATATATAATATGAAGGGGTAAATTCAGGTTTGTTATATAGAATATGAAAAGGCTAAATCAGGTATGTTATATATAATATGAAGGGGTAAATTCAGGTTTGTTATATAGAATATGAAAAGGTTAAATTAGGTATGTTATATATAATATGAAGGGGTAAAATCAGGTATGTTATATATAATATGAAAAGGCTAAAACAGTAATGTCATATAGATAATGAAAAGGCATTTTGTTAAAAACAATACAGTCTTCGAAAATAAGTGCCAGTCCAAGGCCAGAGGCCACTAAATTTAGCACCGGTCCGGTGATTTAAGATTATTGCCAGGTTGGTAGTCTGAAAAAGAAAAATTTCATCAAAATAATGTGGCAGGGTTCTCAAAAAGATCAATTTTTAGCCTTTTTGCAAACAAAACCCACCAATTTCAGTCCTTAATTTACAAAACACAGCGAGGGAAGTCTAAATTGTATTTAGTAATGGAGGCCCCCATTTTTTTCTTGGATGTTTTTTGTACAGCACCGTACAGTTACGGAAATTAAGCCATTGGTTATCATGATCATTATTTAGCTATGATTTTGTGATAATTGAGTTATTAGTAATATATTTTATATGAAAGTCATTTGTTTGAAGCAAATTGTGTCATAAATTACGATTTCACCATTATACATGCAGTGTATTAAATAAATTGTTTACAAATAATAGTAAAGGGACAAAAACATTTATGACCTAGTAGGCTTACATAATTATGTAAGAATTACTTTTATCAAAACCTGTTATGTTTTTATCACCTTTATAGTAATTATGCATTTTCGTTATTCTAGATATCATTCATAGAATCAAAAAATATCTAAGCTTTTATTTTGTTTTGCTCACAATAACAATAACTTATATTTTTGTATTTAATTTATACTTTAACAAAACAACACTTACTACAAAATCATCATTTCAATATCTTGAGATTTCTCTAGATTGTCTGTATTTCACAAATTTCTTGTGAGGGAATCTTGATATATTTAGATTATTTGTAAGCATGTCTGATTGTATGGGCTGTTTAATAAATTTCAGATTGTCGTACTCAATTGATGGAACATTATTGCAGTGATGTACTTAAGGTATCAGCAATACCTTTACAACCAGATGAGGAAAATTATAACTTCAGTGACATTTATATAAGACCCACTATAACAAGCAAGATAGAAAAGAACAGAGGGGAGTCTGAGGAAAAAGAAATAGAGTCCATGTCAGAGATTTTCACAAAGAACAGGGAACCACAGAAATTTATTTATGTTGTTGGAGATGCAGGGTCTGGTAAGAGTAGTTTCTGTAAATATTTGATCAACTGTTGGTGTATGGCACACAGTGATGGACACAATGAAGATGATGAGTTTGAAGGAGTCAAGGAAATGAAGAAATTTGATTTTATGTTTTATATTTCTCTTAGACATAACATAAAGATCCGAAGTATCCAAGAAATGCTTGAAATGCGATATGATAAGATAAAAAATTTAACTAAACTTCTGGAAAATGATTCTAGAAAGATAATTATTTTGCTTGATGGTTTAGATGAATGGTCTTTTGACAGTGAGACTAGGAATGAGTTCCAGGCAGGCCTTCCGGAACGTGACTTTACAAAGAAATACACCATTGTCACTACATCACGGCCATGGAAAATTCACAGTTTGAGAGTAAGTAATAGAGAGATTCGTCAATTATTAAAATTAAAAGGGTTTGATGAAACACATGAAAAAAAATGATTAGGAAAACAATAACAGCATTGAACGAATCATTAGATCCTAAAGTGTGTGAACAAGAACTTGAGATACCGTCTGTGGTTGGCCTGAAACAGGTACCAATTATGCTGCAGCAATTGATTTGTCTATGGTGTGATGGTAAACTCGATAAAACGTCAAGGTGTGCTATTTATACTGGTATGTTAGAACTTTATTTCACCTGGAATATCAATAAAACTTTAGGAAGTAATACAGAATGTATGGAAAGTTCTCAGAATGTTGAACTCCCTCAGTATTTAACAGATGTAGAGATATGTAGATTAAATAGTCATCTTATATATTTTGTGTCACGCTTGGCTTATGAGACATTGTTCAATTATCCGAAGGATAAGTCCTTAACATTTGACAAATCTGTGTTTGATGGTCTGAAAATATCACAAGAAGTGCGAGAAACATGTCTGAAACTGGGAATTTTGACAGAAGATAAATGTCCTTCTTTTTCTGTATCCAAACCTAAAAGCTCATTGTTCTCTTTCATTCACAAATCAATGCAAGAATTTCTGGCTGCAGTGAATATTGGTATCAATGCAAAAATTGGTTTGTCACATAGTACAGGAAATGTTGAATTAGCCAAAAAGTGTATTGATGAGGTTTTTCAGAAATGTTCAACAGTAAATGACATATTAGAGCAGTCAAATGTTATCATTATGCTATCTGGTCTTGAACCTAGATTAGCAACACATGTTTCAAAATACATATATGATACTGTGTCGAAAGACTCTCGTGTTCAGGAATACAGGAGAACAATAAGTAGTAATCATAGTTGTATTACTGATATTCAAAATCTTATGTTTGATTCAATGGAAGAATTCAATGCAACATGTTGTATAGGAAATAATCCTGTATTTTATATAGGAGATTTAGTCCTTGATGAACAGGGTCAGTATTGTGATATTGTTTGTTCAAGTATTGACCAGAATCAAATTGTTCCTGACACTGTTCTATCTATTTATGTAGATGACATCAACACAAAAAATGTTAAATTTACAAAATATTTACCAATGTTTCATCAACTTGAAAACATTGCAATATCATATGGTGATGAATCACAAAGGTTATCAAGTACACTAAGTGATAGTACACATAGTAATGGACAGATGATTGATGAGGTGAATAATTGTGTTTCTGAGACAATTAAAGTAAACACTTCAAAATTAAAATCTCTGTCTCTTCTTGTCTTTTACACTGTCAAGCATTATCCAGTGTGTAGAACAGTTGTTAGTTACCTACCTAGTATGATCAATCTTGTAGCAATACGAATGAGTGGTATGAGGAGTATGATGAGAATGAGTAGTATATGTTCTATAACAATGAGTCATGATGATACTACTACATTTTGTAATTTTCTTGAGAGAACCAGTCATCTTGAACAAATACATCTTAGTTATGTTGCATGTAAGTGTATGAAGCAGCATGATGTAAATTTATCAAAACATCAACAACTTCAGTATCTTCATTTGTATAATACTGTTAGTGTGATAGATGCTGATACTACAAACCTTGAAATATTTAATTCTGCAACTTTGAAAAATAGTAATTATGAGAAAATATTTGATATTATTAGAAAATCTTACAAATTAAAAGAACTTGTTTTGTATGGAGAATATATCAATAAATCTCAATTATATCATACCAACATAACAAAGAGACTAGTCACAGTATTACCATTGTTACACAATCTCAGTAAGCTTGTGTTAGGGTGGTGTAGGTTAACTGACAAAATTATACAGTTACCTTTAGAGATGAAGAGTTTAAAGAACATTGAGCTTCATATGGTCATAATGAGTTTGACAACATGGCAGAAGTTTGTTGATAGTCTTCCTCATATTCCTCATACTGTAGATGTGTATGTAAAAAGCTGTTATATAACAGGAGATGGTGAGGAGTTTAATGATGATAGGTTTACATTGATATTACAAGGACTAGGAGGAGAGAAGGGAAAAGATGCTATACAGTATGTAAAAGATAAGGATCAATTATTTCATGTTAAACATGATGGTTATAACTTTGAATTTTCAACAAAAAAGTGATAAAGTATACAGGTGTTATTTAAACTAAATTATTGCATGTTAAAAGAGATGATGAATTTAGTTTTTCATTTTCAACAAAAAAAAAATGATATGAATTTTTAACATAGTGAGAGAGAATACATGCAGTTAACATAGTGCTTAGTCTAAATTATTTCATGATAAAAGACATAATTATTAAAATAAACATTATCAGCTAAAAAAAAACAACAACAAAAAAACAAAGTTACATATTGATATAATAAATAATGAATATAATACAATATGATAAATAACAATCATCAAAACGGTTAATTAAATATCAATTTCTGATCATTGTAGTAATATTGAAATTGATGAAAGTAATATTCAAATGTGTATTTAAATAAATAAATGAAAGTAATGTAGTGAAATATAAAGAAAATAAAGGTAAAGTTATTTTTTTAAAGATCAGGGATGGTTTTTGAAAAAAATAAGTGATTTGAAGAAAGTAATTTTCTAATTATGAATACATAAATAGATATGTAAATAAACAATTATAAGCCTCCGTGGTCTATGGGTAAGAGTCGATGACTTCTAATTCAGTTACCTCTCTGACGTGGGTTCGATCCCCGGGAGATGCTTTGGTAGTTTAGCGCAGAGGAAGGTAGTCTAGTACTGGTGTAACTCTCCAGGAACGATGGTTAGGAAACTACCCGCCTATATGACTGAAATACTGTTGGGAAAAAGCGTAAAATGAAACAAACAAACAAACAAAATAAACAATTAAATAAATTAATGAATAAGTAAATATAATGGCATATCATACCACAGATGTTTAATGTACAAGGTCAGAAAAAGTAAAAGATTAATTTAACATTCAAATACCAGCTATATGATATGATAGGAAAAGGAGATATATAGGAAAAGTGAATGGTATTTATACATACCAGTTATATGATATATAGGAAAAGTGAATGGTATTTATAAATACCAGTTATATGATATATAGGACAAGGGAATGAGTTATTTGAATACCAGTTATATGGTATATAGGACAAGGGAATAGTATAAATGAATACCAGTTATAAGACAAGTGAATGGTCTATATAAATGCCAGTTATATGATATATAGGACACGGAAATGGTATATATGATTACCAGTTATATGTTACATACTGTAAGACAAAAGAATATTATATGTATATACCTGTTATACAATATTTAGAGAATGGAATTATTTATATTAATACCAGTTATATGATATATAGGACAAGTATTTGGTATATAAAAATAGCATATATGTAATATATCAAATATGCAAAGGAAATGGTATATATCAATACCAGTTATAAGATGTAAAGGAAAATGGAATGGTATAAATGAATACCAGTTATATGTTATATAAGACAAAGGAATGTTATATGTAAATACCTGTTATACAACATTTAGACAGTGGAATTATTTATATTAATACAAGTTATATGATATAATGGACAATGGAATGGTATATATATTGATATGATATAATAGTATATAGGATTATATGCTATAGAGGAATGGTAAGTTTTATATATAAATACCTGTTAGATGATATATAGGACAATGGAATGGTAATATTTCTTTTTCATTGAGGTGAGCACCGTTTACTTGTTATATTTTAGAGATTCCTTCTTAATTGATTGTTTTATATTGTAGAGATTGTAAAAAAGTAATAAGAATTATTATTATGCAAAACGATTAATACAAGTTAATATTGTCAGTAAGTATATACATGTACTCAAAGTGTAAAGTTAAAGGGACTCCACTAAGGATTATATTTTCTTGGGGATTTTTTTGACATGATAGGATGGGAGTTATGTTTTTGAGGTTTCATACTATTTGACGAGGATCTATTACTTTTGATGAAAGTCTATTTTAATAACTTGTGTGAGAAACCTCAGATTTTTTGCTCACTTTATTTTTCCAAAATACTAGTAATCATTTTAGCTCAACTATTCAGTGAATGCTATATAGTACTTACCCAAGTTTAGCATTGGCGACAAACTTGGGTTACTTTTATGTGTGCAAGTTGGTATCTAAAGAACTACTGAAGGCAAAAATGACAATTGACATGCTTGCTCTCTTAAATTATTTAACATGACTAACACAAATCCCATACCTCTGATATTTTTTTCCTCATATTTATGCACCTTTTACCACTTAAAAAATCTTGGTTAAGTTTTTACGTATAAGAGTGGATTAGAACTTCACACACATATATGAGAGTAATAGGAAGTCACTGTCCGAGCACATAGATATTTGACAGAATTATTTTCCCTTTTTAAAGCTAAAAAATTCTGCAATGTCCATCAATGTGGATAGTTGAGGGCACTTTGCTGTCAACAGCTCTTGTTGTTCAAAATTTTGTTTAAATCTTTGTAGGTTAACTTTGTTTGAAAATTATGCTTAATGAATATCGATTTTCAATTAAATTCTGAGTATTTTTCTTTAGTATTATTTTTATATTTTTAGCTCGCCTGTCTTATAGTGACATGGTGAGCTTTGGTGATCGCTTTACGTCTGGGGTCTGTCCATCAGTAAAATTTTACTTTAAACGACATATCCTCATAAACTGCTTAGCCAATTTCATCCAAACTTCACAGGAATGTTCCTTTGGTAGTCAATTTTAAAAACTGTTCAAAGAATTTAATTCCATGCAGAACTCTGGTTGCCATGACAACAAAAATAAAAAACTTAAAAGATCTTCTTTAAAAAAAACGAAAGAGCTGGAGCTTCAATATTTTGCATGAAACATTGTCTAGTCAGTGTCTACCGAGTTTGTACAAATGAAAGCCCTGCTGTCAATATTGGCCCCGCCCGGGGTCATTGATTTTCCTTACTTGTATATAGTAAAAACTTAAATAATCCTCTTTAAAAAACCAAATAGCTAGAGTTAAGATATTTAGCATGAAACATTTTCTAATGGGTGTCTACCATTTTTGTTCAAATAAAGGTCCTGGGGTTAAAATTGGCCCCGCCCCGGGGGTCATTGATTTTCCTTATATGTGTATAGTAAAAACTTAAAAAATATCTTCTAGTGAGTGTCTACCAAGTTTGTTCAAATAAA